TTCTCTTTGCTGTTTCTGTAACTGTTTCTTGTGAGCTGTAAAACCGCTGCATGCTGCTGCCTCATGCTGCTCGTCTGGAAAGTCAGAGGATAGAAACCAGTCGAGATATCCAGGTTTTGATTCCTAAAATAAAGAAAGCCACACTGTAAAAATGCTGATTTCCACTTTCCACAAAACTCTTCCAAGCTATCCCAACTTAAATGAATTAAGTTAACCTAATCATAGTTACAAATTTAGGTGAATTGAACATAAAACAAGTTGTCCCCCCAAAAACCTGAAGAATTGTGTTGTTTCAACTATTTTTGATATGCCTAGCAGGCACAGGACATCAGCATGTCAGATTGTAATTGTACCCCAATGTTGTGGGATGCTGCATTTTTAGGCGGAAATGAAAATTGGGTTGACATCAGAACATAGTGTCAGGCCGACGCCAGTGTTCAGCATCAGAAAGACGTTGCATTTTGGTTAATTTCCAACGCAACCTAAAGACAACCAAATATCAAAGTCTAATGATGTTACAGCTTTACATTGTGTGGACGTTACCAGTATGACATCAAGGGCTCTATTTTGACGATCCATGGGCAAAGCGCAGGGCGCAAACGCTTTCAGGGTGTGTCAGAATCCATTTTTGCTAATACAAGGACGGAAAAATCCGCTTTGCGCCGTGGCGCATGGTCTAAAAGGGTTGAGTTTATTTTCTTAATGAGTTATAGGTTTGTTTTAAGAATAAACCAATCAGAGTCTCATCTCCCATTCCCTTTAAGAGCCAGTTACATCGCGCCATAAGCGCATTTGCTATTTACATGATGTAAAGTAAGTGTACGTGGACAAACTGAGCATTTCACTAGCAAGAAAACAGTTAAACAGAGCATCTACCGCGCGAGAATGAGAGATAAGGCATCTCATAATCTAGTTCCACTTTCGCTCTTGTGGAAAGGGAAACCACACAGAAATCAATTAGCCTATGAATAATTAATTTTGTTTGGTAAGCGCAAAGATTTGTTTTAAAACTATTTCTAAATACAGTTTTAATTTTCAGCAAACGAATAAATGAACAATAATAACGAAGTGTGTTCAAAAACCTGAGTTATATCCTAAAACACATGCTGTGCCCCATATGGTCTAAAACATGACAGGTGGGGAAATCTAAGCTTGTTTTTAATAAAACAAATATAAATATGGATATAATAAATAATACTGCTAATAATGATAACATTATACAAAAGCAAATTGAATGAACTGAAAAAGCCTCCCGAGATGAAGGCAGTGGCTTTTAAATTCATGTAGACTAGGAAATAATATGTTTTGTAATATTTTAATCCTTTATATTTATATCCTATATATACCCTTATTATATTCTATATATTTCCTAATATTTTATATCTTTTTCATATGTAAAGATATTTGCGTATTGCTCTACATCTTGTGTGTATTAAACAGTGTGTATGCCATGCGCACTCTGCGCCAGACAATAGACCGGCTTTGTTTTGGTCTAAAGAACAGATTATTATAGTTCCTCAAAATACCAACGCGCCAGCAGCACGCCAAAACATGCCTGCTTTTTTAGACCAGAGCGCCTATGGGCGCACATATGATTTAAGTTTAAGATGGTGGCTCAATGTTGGATTGTGGTCACTTTTCTTGCACAACAGTCATTTTATGATGTTATTGGACGTCAAAATAACATTGTCTTTAGATGCTGGCAACCTAAATCTAACATAATATTAACGTCATATGTACTTGTGTGTCTGCTGGCTGTGTGAACAGGCAGGAAAAGTAATTTTTTTTTGAGTTCAGTTAATCAGCTTGTTTTGGGCCTTTTTCAAAATAATCAATATTGGCTGATTAAAAAAGTGTGTTTGCTCCAAAAATTTTAAAAATGAAGGTTCTGAAATATTTTTATATAAATGTAATTAGGGCTGCACAATCTATCTGAAAAGTATCGTTATCGCGATAATAATTTTGCAATATCCATATCGCAGAAAAGTGCACGCATAGGTTGTTTAGCCAAACATAATCAGATGGGCATTTACTATCTTTATCCCAACCTCTCCAGCTGCAAGCTCTAAAAAACAATCAGAATTTCCACCAAGGTTTTTAGTCATTTGTAGTGTTTCAATGTCTAAATGTTTGCACCTTCGCATGGTGTTTTTAATTAGAACAGAAAATATCAATTACTTGTTTAATTTGTTATTATCATAACATAAATTTATATATTTTTTAATTGCTGATAAAATAGCGTTTTGTGAGTTAGTTATATTGTTAGTTATATCATTGTAGAAATATCGTTATTGCAACGCTCAACAACAATATCGGACATCGCATATTTTTCTCAATATTGTGCAAACCTATTTCTAATAATCAGAGCATAATCATTCACTCTAAAAGCCTTTTTTGGGGGGGAATGAAGAAGCCCTTACAGAAAAAACACATGGAAATCACATGTATTATGTGAAAGATAATGAATCTAGGGCTGGACAATATCGGTAAAAATAGTTTTTTCGTTTTTATTCAGCTTAGTCTCTTTATTCATCAGGGGTCGCCACAGAGGAACAAACGTGGTAAAAATTGATATTGCGATATTTTGTTTTTTTGTGATACCAATACAATGTCAATTAAGAGATTAAAGAGATCAATTAAAGAGCTCTACTTGGAAAAAATGTACCTTTTTTTACATAATTGAGATAATTTTATAAGGCAGTGCATTTGCATAAAATATAATAAACAGTTACAAGCATAGATACATTAATTGTCACCTTGGACTTATAAGGTTCTATCTGCCTTCTGAATGATTTTGAGATATTGAGCAAACAGTATGTGTGTAACATTTGTTTTATTTTTTATAAAAAGTCTTTAAATGTAAATAACTTATAAAAAAACATCCCATAATGTAAATAAGATGTCACTTAATAAGAAAATGTCAATATCTTATTTTTGAAAAAAATGTCAGATAGAACCTGATAATTCTAAGGGGACAAAATGCAATAGAGCAAAGATGAATAAACAGTACTTTAGGGTTTTTTAGAGTCTAATAGATGTCAGGTAAAAATAATATTGATCAGTTGTAAAATAATATTGTATTATTTCTTTAACATAAAATGCTGTGGATAGTCTAAATCTGTGGCGGGATACGTTGATTTTTAATGAATAGTTTGATCAAAAAATTAATTCTGTTATGATTTACTCATTCTCTTCTTGTTACAAACCATTTTGTGTATGTTTATTGTGTTGTCAGAAGATATATTTCAGAATGTCAGAAACTTGTATTCATTAGCTATGTTTCCATCCACCTATTTCTGTGCGCATTTTGCAAAAAATGGTTGATGGAAACGCCAAGATGCACATAAATTTTGAAAATGCGCATAAAATATGTATGTAGAATAAACTTTTTATCCGAACAAATTTCAATATGCGCATTAAAAATCATGTGATTTTGTTATAGGAGATCATGTGATGATAAAATATGAGTGATTAGTCAAAACCAGCAGACTGAGCACTGAGCACATGCAATGTTGATTTGGTCATTTTAACCATTTCAGTATTAGTGTTATAATTATTAATGACCTCCAGAACTGTCAAGAGCATCTGCGTCTCATGGCTTCAAATGCCACTACACTACAAAAAATGCTTTTCTTACTTAGATTTTTTGTCTTGTTTCTAGTCCAAACATCTAATCTTACGTCGAAAGAAAAAACAAGATTAATTTGCTTACGCCATTGGCAGATTATTTTGCTTGTTTTAAGGAAAAACTCACAAGTTAATATGTTTTGCTTGATGAATTTTAGAATTTTCGATATTTAGACAAGAAACAAAGCAAAAAATTTAAGCAAGACAAGCATTTTTTGCAGTGTAGGCGTTCATTGCATGTCATCATTGTCTTCTGAGGTGAAAGTGATTCATTAAATAAAGAGAAGATTCAAGGAGCTTCTCTTACTATATTACTATATTTTACTATATTTACTGTTGATATTTGGTGGCAGTTAATCAGGAATTGACAATTTTGTTTTCTTTGTCTCGTTGAATGGAAACGCTGCTTTATTTGTAATGTAATGTGTATTTATATAGCGCATTTATTGCGCATGGCCATACACCCAAAGCGCTTCACAATCATGAGGGGGGGTCTCTTCATACCACAACCAGTGTGCAGAATCCACTTGGATGATGTGACGGCAGCCACAGGACAACACCGCCAGTGCGCTCACCACACATCAGTTATTGAGGGAGTGGAGAGACAGTGATAGAGCCATTTCAGTGCATGGGGATGATTGTGAGGCCATGATCGTAAGGGCCGATTGAGGGACTTTGGCCACGACACGGGGGTTACACCCCTACTCTTTAAAAGAAGTGCCATGGGAGCCATTTGCACATCTTTTTTGCGATATTCCTGTTTTGCGCATACATTTAATTAGCAGTTTTGGATGGAAACAGGGATTGGCTTTCAAACTCTCCATTTTTGCCTGATTGTCAATGGTTATAGGTTTCCAGCATTCTTCAAAATGTCTTAGATAGATTTTTTTTGACTGACCTTTCAGGCAAACTTTTCTCTTTAACATTCTCTAAAACATATTATTTTGTGTTCTGAGAAAGAAAGCTATACAGGTTTTTATTTTTGAGCTGTACTGAATTAGCATGCTGTTTGTTAGCATTACATTTGTAAAAATGCAGAGTTCCACAACCTTCATCCATGTTGTCCCAACAAAAATTTATTAAGTTAACTTAGTATTAAGTAGTAATAAAATCTCACGAATTGGGTTGTTTCAGCTCATTTTTGACTGTAAATTGGTCATATGTTGTTGCTTTTCTCCAAACATGGCACTCAAATTTGCTGACAACAAAGCTTATAACATTTTACAATTACTGCTTGGTATCTTTCTTTATATTAAGATTTGAATGCAATGCCTTCTTATTTAGTGATGTTTTGGTGTTTTATAACCCCTACTGCTTGAAATGTTTTTTCTCCATCTGCTCATGTCAGTTTCTGTCTTTTCTTCTCTTCTCAGGCAATCAAGTGGAACCGTCATAAAGAACAGGTACGCCAGCTAAAACAATACACAGATGTTTCTGCTCTTCACTGGTGCATGTCCAGAGCACTGAGGTTCAGTCATATTTCATTTACATCACACCGTTTTCACCTAAAATTGAGAAACTTTGATGTATTTTGACTGTTCATTAACACAACAACTGCAATTCGGAGGCCTGAAAATGCAAACCTTTGAAAAGGTTTTACAGTTCTGACTTTTGAAAATGATACCTTCATGGGCTGCATCTGAAAGCTTTAAAAAGGCAGCATTCCAAGGCTGGAGGGCATCAAGGGACGTCTGAATCCAAATTCTGTTTCACTTTCTGTCTTGGGAGATTCCTTTTTATTCTTATCGACTTTCGAAGGCAGCATAGATGTGTTCTTCACTGCATTTTAATATCCCAAAATCCTGTCAATTGCAGTTCTGACAGTTAATGCAGCTAAAAAATGAACAAGGAATCTCAAAGAGCTGCTTGGGTGTCATTTTCTGAATAAATGTACAGATTTTGACCAGTGTTTTCCATATTTGATGTTACTTCTTGCAAGAAGTTAGTAATATAGTAAGTAAATATTCCCTTATTTATCACCAAAGCTCTCTTTATTTTGTGTTGTAAATTGATATGCTGTCTCGGAAGTGATTGGTCAGCAAAGTAACAAGTCAGCAGCCCAAGCTTTCAGATGCAGCCACAGTGTCTGTATAAATTGAAAAACTGTGATTCTTTATGAAAATGTTAATACTAAGCATGAGTATTAGGTGTTCAGTGTATAGAGGGGTTTGCATTTTTGCTCATTTACCCAAATGCACAGGCAGTACTGGCGGTATTTTGATATAAACCTATATGTTGTTCTAAACCAGACGAAAAACCATGTGGATGTTGCTAGATCATATAAAGAAGTATTAATAAGCACGAAAGGGTGCAATATATTAGTAAACTGAATACAATAGGTGGAAAAAAATGTATGAGCAGAATTCATTAAAATATTAGGTTAAAATTGTACTTACTTGAATGGAAAATTTAAGAACAAACAATGTTCTGGTCCAGTTTGGTCGAACACCTTGTTTCTCAGGCAGGTTCTTTTTCTCTCTTCTGCTTGGTTTGTTATTACTTTTGGCCGTCTTTATTGATCCAACTGATTAACACAACCCAGAATGTGACTGTAGTTGATCATTTTCAGCATCAATAATCAGCAAAATAAACAAGTTTTGAAGTCACAACAAGTCATTAAATCACTTGTGCTGTGTTCCCACCAGATGCGGAACGTGTGGATAAATTGCAATATTCCTGTGTAAATAGACGCTTGAACATTTGAGTTTGCTTGCTTCATTCACACGTCAAATTTGCTTTATTTATGAGTCAAATTTGCTTTATTCGCGCTTCAAATTCACTTCAGAACAGACGTGGATTGACGTGATGGCCAGGGCTTCTGTTTGCCCAGTAACTGTAGCTTAGTTGCTAAATGGCTAACATGGACTTTATTGCGAAAATAACTGTGTTTATGTGCTTTATAAAGGCTAAAAAACAGCATTGATTCATTTGGAGCAGTGTCTGAGTCCACTAGATCCTTTCAGAGGTGCAGTCAGCTCTGTGAGATCATAAACTCCTCCAGAAACTTAACCTGGATGATGGAGGCTTTCAGTGGTGCTTCTGACTTAGCCGAGCCCAGTTTAACGAACTGTTGTTGGTGTGTGCAGGAGGATTTTCCCCCGGGACACCAACAACAGGCGATATGTCATAATCAAGCCCCCACAAGAGCAAGCTCCTGATTGTTTAATGCATTGCGAATGTTGGGCAAAACGCGTAAAATGCTCAATTAACACCGCGCCTTTCGTGCTCTGCCATTCGCACAATTCGCTTTGCGTCTTTTGCTCGTATCGCGCCGCAGGATGTTTATTTGCACGTTTGCATTGACTTAGCGTAAATTACTTGCGCTTCACGCTTCTTCCGCGTCTGGTGTGAACACAGCATAAGGCATATACCACTTGACAACAGGACCAGGGGTGGACAGGCCATAGGGGACTGGGAGCACTGGGACCACATTTCCCGGTGACCTGATTTTCAATTGTGAATTTGGCCGGACCAACAACCCCCAATCCTCCACCCACCAACAACCAAAAAAGCTGCACTTCCAATCCAGTCATATTAATATAGATCAAGTTTAGTAATCTGAAAATATAGTAATTTCTAGTAATCTAGTAATTTACCTCACATACATAGATTTGACATCGGGTTCAAGCTCACATCGCCAATGATTAGTGATTGCGGCTGTACTAAAGCTCCAGTAGATTCACAGCAGTAGGGATACTGAGCATGCACTAGTTTGAGGAAGTTATAAAAACTTGACGGTTTAAGTGACTGTAACTTACTTGCTTAACATGATTTCTCCACCATGAAAGCAGTTGACCTGAAGGAGAAAACTGACTATCCACTTTATTCTGCAGAGCAAAAATGTAAATGTGTGAATGTGTGAGGATTCCGATTCATTAACTAATGAATTAGTTCAATTATGGATTAGCTAGATCAATAACAAAACACAGCTATTTGTGCTACACACACCATATACCAGATTTGGGTAATAAAAAATAAATAAATAAATAAATGTATACCTACGCGCACACACACACACACACACACACACACACACGCACGCACGCACACACGCACGCACACACACACACACACACACACACACACACACACAAACACACATTTAAGTTATCTGAAATAATATAACATCCTGTTTTAGGACAGCTAATATAACTGGAAGTGAATGACAGTGGAGCACAACGAAGACATTTTGAATTGATTCACATATTTTTTTCAATTATTTTCTCTTTTTTTCTCGTATATTTTATAATAAACAAAATAGTATTGAAAAATCATGTCTAATAAATTGAAATTATGAAACTGAATAATACTTTACTAAGAATTAAACAGCAAAAATACAGTTTCCTAACAGTATAGTTTAAGTAGCAATTCACACTATTAGCTAGTGGCTTATTACCTGCTTATTAAGATATTAACTGTTTATTTGTTCTTATAAAGTACATTACTGAATGATCTTATTCTACATCCCTTGTCCGACAAACAACCTCAAATTAACTAATACCTTATTTAATTCATTAGTTAACTTGTCATAAAGCCGTGATGAGGCCATTAGTTGTGTCATGAGTTATAACGCTGTTATTATCAATTCTCTTGACCTCAACAATGGTACAAATTAAATATGTCATTAAAATGTCATCAAATATTAGTGACACTGTTATAAAATTATTTGACAGAGTATTGATACTATTACTGAGAAATCTTTATGACAAATTAATTTTGTTTCACAGAAGAAGTGGTCAGAAAACATTAATGACACAATTATAAAGGGATAGTGTCAGTCATGTTCATGACAGATTTATGACAGGTAATGTTGTCTTAGTAATTTCAAGTTGTCATGACAAAAATGGGTTGAAATGCATTTCAAGTTGTCATAACAAAGGCATCTCAATTAGGGGTGTAATGGTACATGTATTTGTTCCAAACATCACAGTAGTAGGGGGTTTTGTTTCATGCACTCTGTGTTTTCTGTTGTATTAGAAGATGGTTGGGATCTTCTAAAACACTTGTTTAATGCATAGGGCCCTATAATACACCCAGCGCAATGTGGCGCAAGGCAGGACGCAATTGTTGTTTGCTAGTTTCAGCTGGGCGCAAGAGTCGTTTTGACCTTTTGCGCCACGCTGTTTAAATAGCAAATGCATTTGCGCTCATATGTGCGCCCATAGGCATTCTGGTCTAAAAAAGAAGGTGTGTTGAGGCACATTGCTGGTGCGTTGCTATTTTGAGAAACTATAATATTCTGTTCTTTAGACCAGAACAGAGCCGGTCTAAAGTCCAGCGCAGAGAGCGTTAGTTGTGCGCCTCACTTACACACTGCTTAATACACATAAGATGTAGAGCAATACGCAAATATCTTTACATATGAAAAAGAATTAATATATTAAGGATATATATATATATATATATATATATATATATATATATATATATATATATATATATATATATATATATATATATATATATATATATATATATATATATAGGAAATAATAAGGATATATATAGTACATAAATATAAAGGAATTAAAATAGTACAAAACATATTATTTTTCTAGACTACATAAATATAAAAACCATACTTTCATGCCTTCTTCATCTCTGGGGGCTTTTTTCTGTTTATTCGTGAAAATTTGCTTTTGTATAATGTTATAAATATTAGCTGTATTATTTATTATATCTATATTTATATTTGTTTTATTAAAAAAAAGCTTTTTTTTCTTTGCCCACCCTGTCAGGTTTTAGACCATATGGGGCATAGCATGTGTGTTTGGATATGAATCAGTTTTTGACCACACTTTGTTATTATTGTTCATTTATTCGTTTGCTGGAAATTAGAACTGAATTTAGAAATAGTTTTGAAACAATTCTTTGCACTTATCAAAAAAAATTAATTATTTATAGGCTTATTGATTTCTGTGCTTACAAGGTTTCCCTGTCCACGAGAGCGAAAGTGAAAGTAGATAATGAGAAGGCCTTATCTCTCATTCTGCAAAGCAGATTTTTCCGGATTTTTTCGTCCTTATATTATCAAAAGTAGATTCTGACACTTAATGCATTTGCGCCCTGAGCTTTGCACTTTGCGCATGGATCGTCAAAATAGAGCCCATAGTGTCACGGAACAGAATAAGGGCAAAAATAATGCATTTCAACAGAATTCTTTAATAAGAAAAAGGTCAAACAAGACAATCTGTCGTATAGCAAAGCACACAGAGCTGCATCTTCAAGAAGGAAACTCAAAAGGCCCCCCACTTGACCGTGAGAGAGAGAGAAGGAGGTTGGATGGTCCTGTAAGCCCACCACTGCGATGAGAAGAATGTCTGACCTCCAAGTGTTGATAATCTGAGCAGATTCCAGGATGAGAACGCATTATAATCGAGATCATACTATTTGTACCCACAAC